ACCAATCAACTATGGTAATCATGTGCAAACTCTGTATTTAACTGTAAATTCTGAAGTGATGCTGAGAACTTCAGCTCATCTCTCTCAGATGCCTGTATAGCTGGTGAGATCATTTTGAGATGAACTCATCAGCAGATCTGTCCTGAAGAGAACTTGACTCCTGTATCTCTTTTGTGCCTTCATATACTCATCAGGCTGGAGTCAAGACCTGACAGTGTTTGTTTTCCATTTGTGCTCTTCTGAGTTCTTTGCCAGTGGCTTTGCATTCCCTTTGCCCATCTAGAAAGCTAAGTCATTTTGTTACCTGTCTATTTTTCTGACTAGGTCTGTGTGAAAGAAACTGCCTTATGTTAGTTTGGGGTGACCTGAAGGTAGAACGCTAACTTTGAATTCAAGATGATTTTCTCTCTGCTCAGAAGGCCATCGTAGCGTCCCTTTACTCATCCTTTCAGTTAGGTTTGTCAGCAGTGGCTCTTCAAGCTATTTGTTGACATGAAATGATCCTAGCAGGGCCAGGGCCTCTGGTTTCAGTCAGATTGTACAGACAGATTAACTGATTCTGTGCTCTTTTATCAGATAATGTTTTACATTAATTGTATTTATAACTTTTATATCTAAATGAAAATAAACTAATTTATATATTGAAAAAAATCCGTAATTCTTAATGAGTTTTTTGGTAGAATTTTGCGGTCACTTATGGGTGTTCTTTGTTCCTCCTGTAGATACTACCTCAGTTTCTTCCTGTCGTATCTCATCTCCCTTCTTACTCCTCCTTTTCCTTTGTGATTCTCAGTTCTTTTTATGTTGTTTGGGTTTCTTTGGTTTGGCTTTTTTTTTTTCCCCCATAGACTTAGAAGGCTGGAGATAAATGTAAAGTTAGTCCCTATTGTTTGTTTTGTTCTCAGCAGCAGTTCTTCCTGTATAGTTCTTGGTTTCTATTTGATTCTTTCTTTAAGCTAGTTGCACTTCTCTGCCCCGCATTTTTTAATGTTTCTTCCAGTGTCCGGTTAGGGCTTTTGAAATAGTTATGCATTTTCATACTTTTCATCTGAACCCATTGTACTCTTGAAGTACAGTACCGTGTATTTCTGAATCAAGAACTGCAATAATACAAGGCTAGGAGGAACACCAAGTTCCATACACTGGGAGATGTATGAACTTCTGTAAGAGGAGATATGGTGGGACTGATAATCTGAAACTTAACACAGCTATCAATGTGTAAGCCCTGTTCTTCATGCACCTTTTTTTTCTTTTTCTTCCCCCTAGTTCCATCTGAGCCAAGTGAGATTTAGTTGGGATAGAAAACTGAGCAAGAAGTACTGCTAGGCATTTGTTCTTGGTACAGTAATACTAGTTGAATATGTGCAAATGTAACACTCTTGAAATCCCAAAGAGATCTTGCAACAATGAAGGAAGCCTATTAAACTGTTCAATATGAATCCTAAAAGCAGATCTAGCAGACTAAACCAGCTGCTAGGCTGCTCTAAGGTCTTTGGCTCACAAACATAAAACGGTGAGTAATTTGCTCTTTGAGGGGTCAGTCCCACTCTCACTTAAGTTTTACTTAGTGCGCTCCTTGACTTGTTGGTATTAACAGCTCTATAGATCTCTCAACTGACATTGATTTCTTGGTAAGGAAGACAAGCAAAGCCTTCCCCGTGATTTACAGGTCAGGAGCTAAAAGTTTGTGCAAAGTCTTGAGGAGCTGAACTCTGGAAAGATCCTTTCTTTGCTGGAGACTGCCACAGTGTCAAACTGTTGTGCGTAACTTCAGTTTGGAACTACTGCTGAAACCAGAATTCAGAAAGATGCTTAAGTTATGCCAGGGCAAAGAGATTTGGCCCTGCATACAGTTATGAGGATGGGTAGAAAAGCAACACTGGTATAAGGGCTTCCTTAATAACAGGGAAAACAGCCTGCTACAGTGGTGAAGTGGTAAGAATTGAAAGCCCATGCATGAAAGAAGGCAGAGCACCTTTACCCACTGTTACTGTTGTATCTCTTGAACTGTGTGGTGCACAGAGTTTTTGTCTTCTCATTCTGTCCCTCAATGTGTTTATATGGAATTATTCTTTCCTCATTGGAAGCTGGAGGTCACTTCTTTGATCCTAAAATGGGAGAAAAATACAGAAGCAAACTAACTTGACCAAACTTCACTTAATATAACAACTATTATAACAGAACCTGCTCTGGCAATTCAACATTTAATTTAGAGAATACATATATGAGTTAATTTATTCTAGAAGATGCAGTTTGTGATTATTCACTTTAACATTTCCAAACAAGGCAAACAATTGCACTGTCTCAACAAAACAGCTTAAAATTATGACAAAAACAAGGGATTTAATTTTTTTTAATGCTTAATTGAATTGATCCCTTTATTTATTAAGGGGAAAGTAATATATTTTACTGTGAGCCAATATTTTAAAAGCCGCATATCAAAATCATTCAGACAGAGTATGGATCGGGTTGGGGAGTTAGGTGTCACCAGCTTGCCAACTTCCTGTTCTGGAGGAACATTACCACCAGTAAGGGAAAAATAAAAAATAATTAAAAAAAAAAAAAAAAAGGAAAAACCAGAACCAAACAAAAAAACCCCACCACATCAACCAGAACCCAAAAACCAACACCACAAACCACCAAAACCCCACCTCCAAACCCCCTCTGTTCTCTTGAGGAGGTTTTCATCTGCAATTGAATGGAGTCCTGCAAACAATTTGTGTGATGATTCACAGGAAGGAATAGGTTTCAATTCCTTCTCTTTGAGCTATGTTGATTCTGCAGGGAAATGGGAGCAAAACAATCTGTTAGTCACATAATCATGAGACCTGGCCTTGAATTCATAGTGAACAGGTGTGATGAGAAATGAGCTACCTTTAATACATGTTTTTTGTTAAATGACCTATTTTTAAATATGGCTTAGTAGAAACAGTGGCTAAATGAGATCACTGCAGGGTTTTATATAACAAACAGAAAAAACAAAAAATAGTTGACTTCTGTAACTTCATACTTACATTGTATATATAATATGTATTCTTACAGCTGCATTGTAATTTTTTTTCTTAAAATCTCAATTATTCATAAAACATTGCTGCATTGCATTGGTTCACCAATATCAGTTACATTCAGCACTGCCAGAGAGAAGAAAAAGTGGAATCACAGAACCCCAGGTTGGGAGGGACCTCTAGGATCATCTGGTCCAACCCTTCTAGGCAAAGCATGATCAGGACTAGATGTTCCAGCACCCTGTCCAGCTGAATCTTGACAGTGTCTGGGAGTCCAACACTTCCCTGAGAAGGTTATTGCAGTGGCTGATTAGAGACAACATTTCCTCTTGTGCCCAGTTGGAATCTCCCCAGGAGTAACCTGTTGCAAGCATGGCAAATTTGGAGTTGTTCTTCCAAATCCCAAGACTAAGGTTATGAAGTTAATGGGTTTTGCCATTTAGTTTCCGAGAATTTAGGACCCATCTAGCTCCATTTGCTGCAACTTGAAATGATTTACAACAATTTTAGCTTTGGATTCTTACCAAAAGCTGAGAATTTCTTTATTCAATTTCTTCAGTATTTTCATTGAACTTCAAAGTTTTAAACAAAACGAAGTGTGTCATAACTCTGCCACATGTGCATACCAGGAACCTGTGGCAAAGTCACCTGATGGGGACTTGCAAGTTTATTTTGTTGGTGTAGCAGCACTGCCCAGAGCTGCTGACAGGATATCGTTACATTTAATTGCTGGTTTATTACTGCTTTTGGTTTTGGGACGTGGCTTTCCAACCCTAGCGCAACTCTCAGCTTTGTATCAGCATTTTCTAGTGCAACATGTTGGCATTCCGGTGTGAATGGACAGGAAAGGAGTAGCTTCCCTGTGAGATTGAGAAAAGCCACAGAGAACACCCCTTTGCTGTTAGGCAAGTAGCTTACATTCTGGAACGCTCTCGGGGCAATTAAACTGTTATAACCACTTTCGCGGTGTTGGGTTGGTTCCTCTCGCAGCGGCGCAGCGATGCTGGCTGGAAATCACATCACATCCCTAAGGGGCTTCGAGGGCCGCGCTTGTTCGAAGGGGTTAGCGAACCCCTTCAGTGCCGGAGTCCCGTCCCTGGGAAAGGACCAGGCAAGCGGCGGCCTTTCCAGGGCTCTTTCCCCCGGCTGAAGCCGGCCCGGCCTCGACGCGGACTCCAACTTCTCTCCCCGCCCGGGCATCGCGCCGATGCCTGGCCGCTCCCCGCTTTCGGCCGCTCGGAGTTTCCTTCCTCCGCTCCCCCTGTGCGGAGCGACCTTCCCCCGCGGGCCCCCTCTTCCGGCTATTGCCGGCGTTCCCTCCGCCCCGGTCACACGCGGTCCCCGGCCAGGGAGCGCCCGGCCCCGCTGGGTTTTGTTCCTAACTCCGCCTCGGCACTTCTCTCGCCACCCTCCCCGCTAGTCCCCTCCCTAGCCCCGTCTCAGCCCCTGCGCTAGCCGGCAGTCCCCTCCCACGGCCGCGTTCATTTCATACCAACTCTCATTCCTCGCATTCCTCACTTCCTCCTTTCAAACTCCAGGGGAAATAAAAACCCTCCCTTTTCCTTCCGAACTCCTGCCCGACCGCGGCCGCCGCTGCCGCCCCCTCGCTGCCGCCGCCCGTCCCGCCGCCCGCTCCCGCGCTCCTCAGGTGAGTGTGCGCTTTGTGCCTCCGCTCCCTCCGCCCAGGGCTGCCGCTCCGAGCTCCCCCCCGGACACCGGCCGGCAGGAGCGCCCGGCCCGGTATTGTTCTCGCTGTCCCCGCCGCTGCGGAACCAAGGGAAAGGGGAGTCCCGAGGGCCCACCCGATCCCAGAGCCGCCCCGGGCGCCGCTGGGGCTCCACGGCAACTTTTCTCTCCGGGTCGGGGGTGGCGTTGCCGAGCGCGGAGCTGACCGGCCCGCGCCCCCTTCCCAAGCCCCCGCTCCCACCCCTGCGGGCTCGGGGGTGGGGATCGGGCGGGAGCGAGGGGCAGGCGCGCAGGAACAGCCGTCGTCTGCTCTTTTGGCAGAAAGTCCTGGAGCAGAAGGAGGAGTTGGAGCGGGTCTCCGCTGCCCCTGCGGAACAACAGCCGCTCTCGCCTTGCTCAGGTCAGGACACGCTATTTCACGACCATAGCTTTCGCGCAGAGTGAAGGGGTACGGATGAGTGTGGGAGACAGGGTTGAAAAGGGGGGGGGGGGGGTGTTGGAGCCGATCATGTGCGACAGAGGAGGCACAGCCATACAAAGGAAGCGATAGGAACATCCTCAATGGAGGCTCCGGCGCGTTCCTCCGTCGGCGAGGGGTTGCCGGCGCTGGGACTTGGGCAACTCGATTGCTTGTGGCATCGGCTGAAAACTGCTAACACTTCTAATGGGGAAAAAATAAGCTTCTGGGCCCCTTGTAGAGCTGTTCTTGGGAAGGGTGGAGAGGAGGATCACTGCTCCCTGTAATAAATTCTGATGTAAATCATGAAGAAAAGCAAACAAACGAAAACCATAAGCAAACCCATCCGTGAGAAGGCATGTGGGTTGTTACGGGGCATTTACCAAAGATGAGAAATGCTGTTTTCCCCGAGCAGTTAGTTATTCGAAAGTTAGAGTTGAGTTTTGATGGCATGCCTCTGGAAAGGATTTAAATTGAAAACAAAAATCAAGCCACGCAAAAAATGCCAACCAAGCAAAAAAGCCCCACCAAAACCCAAACAAAAATCTTCTCCAAGTAATTTTTCATGTAGATAATTCCGCTTAAAGAATTCCTTGCATGGGATGCTAAAGATGAGGCTTTTTTTTTTGTAGAAGGGGAATGAGTGTAGTTCAGTGTATTTTAAAGACTTCTGTGAGGTACTTTATGGTGAATGGTCATGTGTGTTAAAGCAAGCAAACAAAAAGAAACCACCAAACAAACCCAAACCAACCACAACTAATCTACTATGTTTTGTTTAACCTGAAGTTACATTCATGCTACTTTCTAACCTTTGGAGTTAAGTTCTGCAAATCCTCTACAAATAAACAACGTAAGGCACTTTCCAAGTGCGGGGGGCTGGGTGGGAGAGAAGGAGACCTGGGGATTGTTTTGTGTTTTGTTGTTTTTTCCTTGTTTCCTATTACTCAGAACAGATCGGCTTCCCCTAGTTTTGATTGCACTGTGTGCAAGTGAACAGAGCATTCGTTCATCTGTCTGTCCATCTGTCTGTGTAGATGTAAGAGGTTTTATTGTTCTTCTACAGAGCGAAGTGGGCAGTAGGACATGGCAGAGGGTAACATGGAGGAACAGAACATGGGGGATAACAGACTGGGAATATAACAAGTGCTAGGTCTGGGTTGAAACTGCTGTTCTATCATCTGTGCAGTTAACACCTTTTGATCTTGATAGCTTTTTCTGATGACAGAGAAGAACCTGGATCCTGCTGTAGTTAATACAGAGGGGGTTATTTATCAGGGCTGTTGGATGCTGATGGACTCTGGGGTTTTCTTTGGAACTTGTGATAGCAGAACTAAGGGCAGTCAGCCAGGATGCAGTGACCTTACAGGGTTTTCCTAAATCCCAGTCTGGATAGTTCCCTCAACTGGAGCATGTGACAAAGTCTATCATTTCTAAACTGGACAGTCAGCTCCTTGTTCATATCCTCTTGGAGGTGATCTTGGGAGCAGTTATTGTGCATGAGAGTGAACATTAGAAATTTCTGCACTGTCCTGGCTCCTGCTACATCTTTTGGATTTTTAAAATGAATTTTACTGATTGCTGTGACATATTTCAGGTTATTGCTGTGATAAGTGTTGTAATGTTAGCGTATTGCAGAACGACCATGGGAAAACTGTGTGAAAATAGTACTGTCAAGCTCTGAAGAGAAGAAGGGCTCCATGGTGCCAAATTTTACTTGTGATTTAAAATAAAATCACAGTTGCTGTTGGTTTTCTTACTCAGGTATTTGTTTCACAGAACTCAAATACAGTGAGTAAAGTTTTGAAGTTACTGAGAACGAGAGTTTCCAGTAGGTGCTGCTTGGATCTGTTTGGAGCAACATTATGCTCGTTCACAGCTTTCCTTTCTCAGCATTATATGTCTTTTTCTGATTGTATCTTTCAGTTCTTGGTTCCATCACAATATAACTCAAGGGATGGGTCCACAAAGACTTCAGGCTGCCACTGTTGGAGACAGAACCTGTCTGCACAGGCTCAAACTGTCCATTTCCATATTTGTCACACTTCTTTCCTTTGTCACTGGCATGGGTATTGGCACTGCTGTTTACGGACCCAGGCCAGGGGACTGATCAGTCAGCTCTCTTCTCCAGTCCAGTTGATCATGTGGTCACATAAATGCTGGTGTGTTTGGAGAAGCTAGTGCAACGACAAGGGGATGGGGAGTGGGGAAGAATGGACATTTCCTTAGCAATATTGCCATCTTTTCACACCTTAAATAGTTCCTTGGACCATGCCTGTAGTTGCTCCTGTGATAATGAAATTATTTTTCTGTCTTATCTGGCCATGGCTGTATCTTAAAGCAAAAATTCACTGTTGCTTTCTTTTAAAGACCTGTTATGCTTTCCCTACAGCTCCGGTTTGTCCTTTGCTCACTTGTTACTTGGTTTTTGTTGTGTCTCTTGTCCTCTGTGCCCTGCCCCTTCCCCAAATGCTGTGCAGTGGATCTTCAGTAATTTTCTTGGGCAAGTTTTCCATTGCCCAGTGTACTTCATTATGAGAAAAGTTCTTTTGCTCTACTGCCTTGGTGTGTATTTCTGTGAAAGGGTTACTTACTCTCTGCATTTGCACCTTCCAGGTTCTTACAAGCTACTAATGAGACTAAACATTTTTCAACATCTATTGTTCTAGGCCTAATGATTAATTTTTATAGTCTTCAGTTTATCTCTGTTAGTTTTGGGGAATGAGATCTGATATTCCATATGTTGGAGGTGATTCATCTCTGTTGCCTGGAGTGGTATCTGAGCATAGGCAGACAAAAGTTATATTGGTCATTCCGTAGAAGCATTTGCTTTGCAGACAACTCTCATTTATGCTGCATTCTCACTCTTGCATGTCTTTAGCTCCTGCTTCTGGCAGGGCTTTTTCTTTCATTTATCTCTTTTTTTCATTGTTTGTTTCATTGTTTATTGAGTTTCTTTGCATTGCTATTTCCGCATGGTCTTATTTGTCCCCCTTCCTTCTCTTGTTTGTTTTTGAGCTGTCTAAATCCCTTTGAGTGTTTCTATTCACTGGTGTTTGTAAACTTCATTCTGTATCACCTGCAAGTTTCATTGCATTCCCTTTATTCAGTCTTAGGTTTCTAAGATGTTAGAGAAAACTGGACTGGTAGAGATCCCTGAAGCAGCCCAGTAGATACCCCCTGTACCTTTTGGTTCCACTGGTATATATAATTACATTTAGGTTTTGAACCTGGTAATTTTCTAATAATATGATCAATACTCTCCAAAGCCAATTTGAAGTAATTTTTCAGCTGTGATTTCCTTGGAGAGTAGTAAATGCTGTTCTAAATCTAAACCTAGCACATCATGCACTGTATCCTTTTTGTTTGCAAACTTCATGGAAATTCTGTCTTACTTTGAAGAACAACCAAATTTATCAAGATTCACGGTAGTTTATGCTCCTCTCTCCAACTTCTGTCTTATGCCTACTACCTTGCTAAATAAATAGCCAACATGTCTTGTTGTAGAGCCTTTAAAAAGTCAAGAATTTGCATGCATGGAGCTCATTAAAAGATGTGAGACTAGAAATTAGGAGCTTTGGGGGATTTGGAGGTGGTAGGTTTGGTTCTTGTGGGATTTTTTGTTTGTTTGGGGTTTTTTTTTTTTGAGCTTCTGAGTGGTGTTTGGGTTTTTTGGTTGTTTTCTCTGTGTGTATGGGTGTCTGTGTGTGTGTGTGTGTTTTGTTGGTGGTGTTTGGTTTTAGGTGGGTTTTATTGTTGCTGTTCCTGCCCCTTGGGTCCTCCTTTTTCTGGAGATGATGCAGTCACTCCCCTTTGTTTTTAACACCATATGAATTAGAGTTTTCCTGCTAGGGAGGGGCAGGTTTTCCAGTTCCTGGTGCCACTGGCTGAGTCACTAGCTCTGTTTTTCTGTTCCATTGTAGGCTTATAATTACCTTGTTCCTACCTTCATTAAAGTATGATTGCCAAAGGGTAGGTATTTTACTTTGCTGTACTTCTGAGACACGAGTGCCAGTGGCTTTCAGAGCCTACGTACAAGCCTTTGAAGGATCTGCTTTGCTGTTGCCAAAGAGAAAATAAATTAGGGTAGTCCTCAAAGTCCTTCCCTTCAAACAGCATTAATGACAGATGTCCAGGCAAAGTCTAATCTCTTGTAACCAGAACTACTTTTAAGTGAAGGAGGAAAAGTCAAGAGAGCACTGAGCATGTGTATGCTGAAATGGAAAGGAAGGGTTTGCTGATGTATTTTAAGTTCATTTTACTTGATCATACTTCTTCATAGAAAGTCTTTGAAATAAGGCTCACTGATACCACATTAGCAGGATTTAGAGAGGTTCTCCTGGTTTGAAAATCTGTCAGTTTAGGGAAAAAAACAGGTGTAAAACAGAGGTTTGCGTAAGAAGATTTTCTTCCAAGTACCTGCTCTTTGACTTATTTTTATAAAAATAAGTAAAATCCTATTGGTTTCCCCACCCCCATTTCTTTGTGAAGGACCTACATGAACAGAAGAAAATGACTGTGCAGGAGAAACAGTGTAAATCTCTCTCTATTCACCCAGTAAGCTAACTGAAAAATAGAGAAGGAGCTATCTTTTCACCACTCTTCTTGGTCACAGGTTTTGTTTGTAAGAACGCATTGTGAAAACTGGAGTCAGGTTTGTTGTTAGCTGTGTCCCTTTAAGAATCCAGTTTTGCTTGGCTAGCTGCCCTTGTTCTCCTGTAGATTAATCCAGCAGAAGGTATATAACCTGTTGACCTTCCTGGCAAGAAGGGTCTGGAAGGGCAAAGAGATAAATCAGTGGTTTTTTGCTTTCCTGTAGTATCTGGGGGCCTATGTTTTTCAGGTTTTTCATTTCTTTATCTTTTCTTTTTTTTTTTTTTTGCTTAGTGATTGCAATTTGAGGGTTGCGGTTGTACTTGCAATTTGCAGGTTCTCATAATCCCTGTATGTTCAGCAGTTTGGGTAGGATAATAGGTTTATGCCACAATTGAGAGGGAAGAGTTCTGAGCTCAAAGTTACACTCGTCCGACTTGAGGGTGCCTTTACTGTCTCTTTTGTCAAAGTGGTAGGAGAACTGGTGTCTGGCTAAAATGGCTGTTGTCTGTTTGCTAGGGTATCTTAGATAAAGGTAAATCTGGTGGTCTTTCCTCACTGTAAGCCCTCAGGAAGTGATCATCTTAGTGTAAGCAGTGAATGTTCACCTTATAGATGTTCTAGGTGGAGCGTGTATTCCAAAACTGAGTTGGAATAGCCCAAGAGGGTGAAGCTTGATCGGTAGCCATGAGTAGGATTCATTCATACGATGTGGATGTTTCATGGTTGTTCTTTACTTGCATTTTGCTTAGCAATTGTATCAAACACCTGTAAGCTCCTAACTCTACTAAAATCCAGGCACATGCTTAATTGGTGGCTTGACTTGAGGTCCCATTTTGCATACCTGTTCTGACAGTTTGTGGTTTGCTTTTGTTTTGAGGCATTAGCGAGGGCCTTAGCCCTGGCCAGATAGGTCTATGCCCACAACATAGACTGCCTGCAAGCACTGCAGATGCAGAAATCTGACTGTGTTCCCAAGCTGTTGTGATCAGTGCTTCTATATATGTACTGTTGTAAATCTCTTAGCTCAGGTTCAGCTATTTCTTTTCTTGAAGTCTGGCTATAGTCTTGGACTTGAAAATTTTCACTGCTTTGGATGAGATTTGGAAACATCTATCTTCTGTCTGAGTTCATGTGGCATTTTGGTGTCATGGGAAGCTAAGCGTGTCACAGTTCTGAGGGCTTTTTTTGGGACATCTACCCTTGAGTCCTGGACAAGAGGCTGAGAGATGTCATGAACAGAAGGGCAGGATTAGGAAATAAGAATTCAGTTTGGGTACCATAAAATGGGCATTATGAATGTCTCAATTTCCCATTACTGGTCAGGAAAGGCTCAAAAGATGACTGGTTTCCAGTGGAAAGCCATGAGCCCTTCTGAAGTTACACCACTTGCAAATCACTTTTAAAGTTCACCGTTTCCTGTCTTGAAACTCTTGTCTGGATTTTGCCCACAGTCTGATTTTGTGGTTGAGTGGTTCACTTGGGTGGTTCACTTTGTGCTATAGTTTTTTCCATAGGTAAATTGGAGGCTTTTGAGTCTGGTGGGATTTTTCAGAACAACTGACTTTCAGTGGGTAAGGAGCATGGCTTTTTTAGGTTGACATTAAAGGTTCCCTCTCCTTTAATAATGAAGCAAATAATATTCTTTGGGAAAATACTATTATTTATTTCTCTTTCTAGCTTGGTTTGGTAAGACTCAAGTAATTTTAATCTGTCAGCGTCTACACCTGTCTATACTTGAAGGGACAGCTGTGATTTAAGCCTTAGCTGACACTGCTGGTGATTCTGTGGTAGAAAAGAGATGTGATTACTGGATTTTCTCCTGGTTCGTTGCCTTCTAACCAGCTCTGTGCTTGTTGGAACAATGACTCCTGGTGACTGCTGCTGCTAGCACAATTTTGGGTAACCATTTTCACCCTGCCACAGCCTTCATTGGTTTAGGAAGCTTTGAAACGCATTCCCACGTGTGAGATAACGGTGACTCCCCAGGAACTGCACTGTTCCTTTGAGGTCTGGGGCCAGCCACTGTGTGGCTCAGTCCCAGGGCAACCTGGCAGTGTCAATCTCTGCTGCCTTTGCTGGCTTATTTTGCTCTCCCAGCTGAGATGCAGATCACACAGTGATCATTTTGTCAGTCCAAGGCTGGTGGCCTTGTGATGTAACCTGTCTGTGGGAGTTGTGCATGAGTTACCTGTGTCTTGGGGTCGATCCCCAGGTTGGCCACCCCTAAACTAGAGGGAGCAGAACCAGCCTTTGGGTTTCGTTGTTGGGTTGTGTATTTCTTTCCTCAGCTCCTTAGGGCAGCAAGGCTCTGTGTGCTGTTTCCTTTATCAGAAATGTAACTGATTGGATGGTGTGCAAGGCCACACACAGCCTTATCTAATCACATACTGTTTGACTGCATTATCCAGGGCTGCACTGATAGAGGTTCTCTGCTCTGCTTGTTTTGATTTACATCACTGTGCTGGACACTACATCCTCCCTCTGTTTCAGCCAGAGCTCAGCTACTGCAACCATTTAAGGGTGGTGTTTTGCTTTGCTGGGGAGTTGGGGTACCTCTGGAACAGCAGCTGCTGCAGGTAGTTTCAGTGTAGCAAGCAGACCAAGTTTGCTTTTATGTAAACATTCAGGGGGAGCCCAGGCTTACCTTGGGTATGATCTGAGGCTAGTAGTGCTTGTTTCTTTGTAAACCAATCTTACTCAGTGGTGAGATGCAGAAAGAAATCTCACAGCGCAGCCTGTAGGGAGGTAATTACTATGTTACCTTGCCCAATGCACACAGAGAAATGAAAGTTCTGTTTTCCTTGCCTAGTGCTGCTGCCTGTTAAGAGCTTCTGCTCCACCTACAGCAAGTAAGACCTTTACTGGTTTTATTCGCCGGATCAAGCAGCACTGCTGTGGTAATGCTGGGTGCATAGAGATGTCCACAGAAGATAGTCAGTATTGCAGGAAGCCCAGGGAGAAACGCGGGATTGTAGCCTGCTTCACCATGTGGCCAAGTTGGTGCTGAGTGCTTGAGTGAAGCCCTCTCCAAAGGCTCAGTGAACTGCACCCACCCATCCCCACTAGCTGCTGAAGCTGAGTGGTGCTCTCTCCAGGCTGATTGCATGAGGGGAGCACAGCTCCTGAGGAGCCCAAGCAACGGGCTGCTGGCTGATCCTGCAAAAGTTCTGTTACCTTCCTAGGTGTAGTTCAGTGCTAGCTGGTCTTGCTGCAGTTGCATCTTTATTTTGCTCTGTAGAGACCCTGTAAACCCATTCATCACTTCCGTCCTTTCTTGCGTGGGTGCTTTAACAGACCTTACTCACTGCTGATCAGCTGCTTTCCCACCTTTTCCCTTTCCAGTGTGGTTTTTTTCTTTTTCCTGCAGTCTCTGAGTTGCACCACCCCCTTGGAGCTACTCATCTACTGATTGCACTCATTCTTCTCTTTCAGAGGAACTGGGCTATTATTGTAGTGGCTTGTTGAATTTCCCAGACTTCTTCCTTCGGTAAGTTTGAATGCTGTCTTCCATCATAACTTGCGCAATAGATTTTGTAGTATTCCAAGTTGTTGCTTTCCTAAACGCAAATCTCTTTGTATGACTGCATTGTGTAAGCTCATTTGTTGGCGTGTTCAGGGTGGAAGTAACTGACTGATTGGTGCTGTTTCCAGGTTTTCTTAGTGTTACAAACTACTCTGGAGTTGTGGTTTGAACAGCAGGATGCCTTCTCTTCTGACCAAAATCATTCTTTCTGTAATTCTCTGCTGGTCATAAATGAAGATGTTGTGATTCAGTGATATACTGCTGCTACAGGAGCAATATTAGGATCATGTTGCTAAGGTAGTGAATACCAGAATTGTTTTATGTACATTACAATGATAAAAAGGAATACCTGTAATGGGAAGCAGTCCCTACCCCCGCAGCTTCCAGTTCCATTAAATAAGACCGAGGATAAAGGTACTTTCTTCCTAAAACTTGTTCACAGTGCAGCCAGCTCAGAAGCAGAAGGGGAATTGTTCTGCCAGACTCCATGGCTGTGCTGGCAAACGTTCCAGCCCGGGAGGGGAGAGTGAGCAGCGCTGTCTCTGGCTAGTGTGTCCTGCTCAGTTTCAATTCCAGCAGGAGAGGGGGTGGCTGTGGACTGGGGAGAGCCTTTTGGACAGAGCAGCTCTAAGAAAACTGAACAACTGGAGACAGCTGGCGGCAGTTTTTCAGATCCTCAAGAAGTGTGATTTTGTGTTGAGCAGCTGCTACAAACACGTAAGAGGGAGCTGTTACCGACAGTAATGACTGAGGGATTAATGTTAGAAAGCAGATGTGTCAGGCCAGGGAATCTGTTAAAGATGTGCTCCCTGTCAGTGAGACCTCACTGAAGCGCTCTCAGCAGCTGTCTAGGCCTGCGGGATTTCTGCATCTCAGTGAGATACCATGAAAGGAGAGTTGGTGTTGAAATTACCAGCATCAGAACAGTTAAACTGAAGCTGCTGGAAAGCTGCTGGAGCTGAAATATCTTTGTGCTTTCTCCATGTTTTTACTTTCCTCTGACCCAAACGTCTGCTCTTTTTTTTGGACTCATTAAGAGATGGGCCATGGCAGAAAGAAGAACAGGGGCCAAGAGTGAATAAGAAACAGTTATTTGGACAGAGGGAGGAAACGTGAGAAGGAAGTAAAATTACTGTGGAGTTACAGGAGGTGGAAGTGCCGTGAGGGGCTTATGTCTTTGATCCAGGGAGAGAATCCATGACTGGACCCCACAAAAGTAGTTAATCATCTCGGTAAAATAAGAGTAGGATCAGAATAAGAACAACTGTAAGGTACACTAATAAAATACAAGAGCCAAGAAGTGGAGTGTAAGTTCAAACTCAGGGAATCTGAAGAGAGCAAACACCAAGCCTGGGACCTGTGACAAAACTTCCTGTTATGGGAATAGGACAAGATCCTCTGACTCCTCTGATCCTAAGAACTGTGCCGGGCGAGGAGATTCAGATAGGGATGGAACTGTATGAGCATGCCTGGGAACTGGGATGTCTGTTTAGTGATTTCAAAATCAAATTCCCTCCACATCAGAAGAAAACTTGGTGATTGCAAGCTCTGCCACAGGCAGAACTTAAAAACAAAACAATTTACAAGCACTAGAATATTATTGATAGTAGCAATACAAATCACCATTATTACAAATCACAGTACCACAGTATGTTAGAGATTGGAAGGGACCTCAAAAGATCATCTAGTCCAATCCCCCTGCCGGAGCAGGAACACCTAGATAAGGTTACACAGGAACGTGTCCAGGCGGGTTTTGAATGTCTCCAGAGAAGGAGACTCCACAGCCTCCCTGGGCAGCCTGTTCCAGTGTTCCGTCACCCTCACTGAGAAGAAGTTTCTTCTCAAGTTTAAGTGGAACCTCTTGTGTTCCAGTTTGTACCCATTGCCCCTTGTCCTTTCATTGTTTGCCACTGAGAAGAGCCTGGCTCCATCCTCGTGACACTCCCCCTTTATATATTTATATACACTAATAAGGTCACCCCTCAATCTCCTCCAAACTATAGAGACCCAGCTCCCTCAGTCACAAATGACCATTAAATTTATCTGTTGGTAAAGCTGTTGGTGTGTAGTTACTGTGGGTTGAATGGGAAACCAGAAGCAAACTGAAAGCTAGATGCTAACTGAAAAATTTGTATTTTGTTGAAATAGTTACTAATGAATATTATTCAAACTTTCCTTATGAATAACGCATATTAGCATGCGTTTGAAAAATGCTGGTTTTGACCAGATTTCTTTTTCAATGGAAAGTGATTCTGCTGATGCTTTTTCAATTTGCCATACCAATAAAGCCATTTACCAGAGAGTTTAGCTCCCAGCTTCTCTACAGTTTGCTTTGCTTAGTTTAATAAATAGCCACTTTGGCTACCAGTCAGTTCAGAGTTCAGATCAACAGTGCAGGAAATGGAAGGCCTGAAGCGTTCAGCCAACAGAGACCCACAGACCAGGTAGAGCCGACCAGGGCTCCCTGTGTTACACTTCACTGCTTCTGAGCACAGAGTATAACCTAGGATTGCACATGGAGCTTACTATTTGAGCAACATTATTTAAGAAAGCTTTGCAGGCTCTTTAAGCCCTTGGCATCTTGCAGAACTAGAGACATAGAGTTGTAAGGATTTCCTTGGTCATTTTAGCCTATGGAATTTCTTTGGAAGTTACCAAAAAGAAGGCAAATTTGTGTTAGTGTCTGGGTGATTATGGAGGTTTCAGCTGGAGAGGGCCAGACACCTTTGATTTTGTAGTCTGTATGATTCCACTTTGCTCATCATTCAGCAAGAGTAGCTTTAGTGCCAAGAAGGGAAAGAAGAATCAGGCCATGATAGTCTATTTCAGTGCCTGCTGACCTAGCTGTAGCTTGGGATAGGACCAGCATTGCTGGTCAAGGCACAAAAAGTAAGAAGCATTAAAGCAAAAAAAAAAAAAAAAGAAAAAAAGAAAGGTATCTGGTCACTTCAAGATTTGTAGAATTTCTTCTCTCATGGCTCTTATGTTCCACACCACCCTTGATTTAAACCAGTGTGAGATAGGGCTCACATATTCTGTCCCTTCCCTGAATATACAAGTGACATTTGCTTAAGTTGGCACAACTTCTCTTTTATGTTTGGAGAAGGGAGTCTTGGGGGCTGACACTGAATTGAATACAGCATGTTTTCTTCTCCACTTATTCTGAAGCTTGGATCAGAAAGGACCCAGAGTTCCCTTCGTCTCTAAAGGTGCTTGGTGCAGATGTGAAGCCCTGTAAAATGCAGCGAGGCACCAACTTTAGGACTGGGGCAAAGAGGATAGTTATGCTTCAGATATATTTGCTTTGTTTCCAGTGCAAGTGTACCATATTTAAATCACCTGCTAGGTATTCATCTCTGTAGGCATGGACATTAAGGAGATTAAAATAACTGGAATTAAAATGGGTGCTTTTTATGGTTATGATGGCTATACTCCCTAGGAGATGACTTTGTCTATGTGAATGCATTGCTAGGAGATTTGTCGTGATAGCAGAGGTTGTAGCTTCTAGTGACCATGACTTCAGGAGTCATACAGTTGAGCAGTTACAGGTGTTTTCACTTGGTGAGGAGCCTCTTGGCTGTTAAGAGACTAACAGCTCCAAATGCAGGTAGCACTATGAATACCTTGCTCTCACACCTTAGCTTTCTTTCTGAACTCCTCCATTTCTCAGCCTCTTTCTGAACTCTAGCCATTTCTCACTTAAAATTAGTCTGTGCCTTGTATTTGTGGAGATTTTAATGTGCGTTAAATACAGAGGATCTTGACAGCCTCCAGAGGTTAGGGATGCTTGGAGAAATATCAAAAGAAGAATGGCTGTAACAAATAGCTTCTGTTTCTCCATCAGAGTACCCCTGTGAAAAGCTTACTCCTGTATAAGGAGTATTCCCTTACTCTTATTCCCGAACAAGACAGTGTTTTGAATACCTGTGTAATTTTTTACTGAGCATCTGCCAGTGAAAGGGGATGTATTGGTGATCGGTGCTTGGTGAAGGAAAGCAACTGTTATTGTTCATTTCAGGGCCTCTTAAAATCACGCTGCCTGCTTTAGTGCCATTCCCTGTGTGCTTGGGATGTCTGTCCTGGTGGTGTGAGTTCCCCTTTCTGCTTCCTCCACCTCCCACTTTACTCTTTCTTTCCATGTTCATTAGAACTGAAAATACATAGCATGGGCCAAGAAGACTGAAGTAACCTAGTGCAGGGGCTGAAATGGATGGACAGACTGTGGTAGACCATGCCAGTGATTCACGTGTTCAAAACATTATCACAGGAAATAACCTGTGTACTTGGTTTTCTAAATGTACGTGTGAATCACTTGCTAAAGTGTTGCACCATGGCGTAAGAAGTATACTAAAATATGTCTAAAAATTACTAAAATGATCAGTATTACCTTTTTTTGTTCCTGAGTTTTTGGTGGACATGTAAAGTAGGTGTCTGCTGCTGTCTAAAGTGATCAAGGAGCAGCAAAACTGACAGCCAGTGCTGTCAACTCTTTACAGCTTCAGCTTCTGGGATGATAAAATTCTTAATAATTACAGCTTTTATTAAAAAAAATAATGTAGTCATTATGGTATTGGAGAAGATTTTGTAAACAAGAAATCCAAAGAGAGGCTTTAAAAGGAGAGTGTGATGTAAGGGTTTTTGAAGTTGGTGTCAGAAAAGTTTCTGGAGCCATGAGCCCAGAATTTTTGAACTCAGGTTTGAATGAACGGACCTGCTTTTCCCATTTACCAATAACAGCACAGATTTTGTTCTGGCTAGTTTTGTACATAGGCCATGCCCAAATTTCTCTTCTGTCCTCCTTTACATTATCACTGTGATATTTCTGAGGTAGTCCGACTTGGCACGTCAGAGCTCTCTCTTTGCTCTTGTTCAGTACAGGTTTGGTGATTCTGTTGCTCTTGCAAAAAAACAAACAAAAATCCTTATTCTGGTTTTCTTGCTACCCAGCTCAATGTGGTGTTTTTCAGGGAAGTTTTGAACTCTAACTGGATTCTCAAATGGTGGCTTGTGAGCGTTCTTTGTAGCTCAGATAACAAAACTATTAAAAAGGTAAATTAACGGTTTTGAGATTGAGGCACGGGAATGTTCCATGTCTTTAAAAGCCCTTTGTCTTTTGTATAGTTTACTGGAAGTGTCTGTATGGTCTGAAGTCCATACAGACTTTCTGAATGAGTGTTTTAGCAGCTCCACTGAATGACTTCAGCCTGCACTTTAGGAGTAGACTATAACTTATTGTAGTTTTCAAAAGGTAGCAGCTGCCTCCTTAGTTTCAATAAGAAACCAGTTTCTGCCCAGTGGCAAATCTAATAGCCTGAGACTGGTAAAACATGAGGGAGCAGAGAGCACTGAGAACTGAAGGAATTTGCCCAAGGTCGATTTGAAGATGAGCAGTAAAAACAAGCTGAGCACTCAGGATTCTTGACCTGCAACCTAGTGCCTTTATGCTTTTACTCATGGTGCCTTCTGCTCCTGCCAGGATATAGTGCTGAGATCTGGGAGACATTGCATTAAACTGTCTGCCTCCAGAAATTGTTTTTTTGGAGTGCAAGTGATCCTTGGGAAAAAGAAATGTCAGTGTTAAAAATGACACCGGCTACCAACTCTGATCCAGTGAAACAGTATCTAAGAAAATTTCAGTGCTCAGTGATGACTACATAATTCATCACTGCTTTATTTTGTACAGGCTTTCACACAGACTGAATCCCTCTATGCATGCTTCAGAAAGTTAAATAACAGTTACACAGATAATGGCAGCAGAGGGAGAAAGAAATTAGGAGACAAAGACACAGGCAAGAAGACATAGTGTCTGAGGATTGGGAAGTGATGTTTAATGAGCCAAAGGGATATGGGAGCAGGCTGTTTTATAAGAAGGATTCGTAGAAAAGATTTTAATCTCAGCACAAAGAGAAATCAAGCATGGGGTTGTGTTACCATTTAAGGTAAACTTGAAGTTAAAACCCTCCTCAGAGAGGTTTTTTAAACATATTTTATTTCCTTTCCTTTTTTTTTTTTTCCCTGCAGAGGACAATTTGTAACTGACAGATGGGATGTGTTTGTCATCACAGGTTCCGCGTCTGCTTCTCCGTGTCGCACCTTGGAGTTTCTAGCTGGCACCATTACCTCCAACGAGTGGAGTTCTCCCACCTCCCCTGAGGGGAGCAACGACTCAGGGGGCAGTGAGGCCTTGGACAAACCTATTGACAATGACGCTGAGGGCGTGTGGAGTCCGGACATTGAGCAGAGCTTCCAGGAAGCGCTAGCCATCTACCCACCATGTGGACGGCGGAAGATTATCTTGTCAGACGAAGGCAAGATGTACGGTAAGGAGAAAGGACACATCACAGCAGTCGAGGCAGAATGCCCTGTGCAAGCCACTTGCTTTGTACCAAATGACGTTCTGAATGAACTCTTTTCTCTCGGGCATTTCTAAGTTCATGCAGTTGATTGCTTCAATTTGTATTTAGGAAAATTAGTGAAGATTTTAACATTCACAGATCAGAAAGAATTATAGATGTCTTTTTTAGGGGAGTATCAGTAAGTATCTCTGCTCATTTTCAGTAATAAGTATTACTGCTCATCTTCAATAAGTAACTCTAGTATCCCAGAGTTGGGCATGCTACTGATAGATGGCATGTAATGGCTTTGTGTTGTGACTAAGTCTATCTTTCACGATATCTCTTGCTGCGGTCTGGTCTCCAATATTCTTGTTATCCTAACAGGTAAAGTTCTGCATCTCTAGTGCCAAAAGGCAGAAGTTCAGCCCCTGAACTCCTGAATGGCTTTGCTGGTGGTGTGCAAACACCATTTTGTTAACTAGCTGTGCTTTTCACATCTTAGGAGCAGAAAATGGATCTCTGGCTGCTCCCTTTCATTGTAATTTGCCTTCTTGGAGCCCTGGCATGAATGTCTTTCACCTATAGGTTCTTTCTCAGCTAGCTAGTTAACCAGCCCTGAATGCAGAGAAGTGCTGGCTTGCAGCTGCAGCAGAAGTCCACTTTTTGCGTGGTAGACATGATTTTGAATTGGATTTTTGACCTATTTCTCAGTTAAATCTTTTTTCTTGATTTTTGTCTGCAAAGAAAGCTGATCTGAGCTGGATTCTCTAGTTCAGTGTTGGAATAAGCTACCTGGTATTTCTGTGACTTAAAAGCACACCAAAGGCTGAGAGTGCCCAATATTTGCTTAAAAGTCCCAAGGTGTCAAAACTGTTTTTCAGAGCAGTAGCAAAGGTACGGAAGGCAGTCTTCTCCCTACCGTGTCAGTGCTTGGGGTGGTTTTTTGCCTTTAAATTGGAATCTCTGTTTATGCAGGCCCCATCGTGGGAGCACCCTGCCCTGAAGCTTCAGATGGAGCACTTCACAAGTCATTACGCAGGTTTCTGTCCACCCTTCGAGCCATTGTTCACTGAGCTAGTGAATAGATTGCTCTCACTATGGGGGCATGGGTGAGGTCTTGTTTACCGAACCTTATCTAGTATGGATGGTTTTACTGGGTACATACACCATTGTGTCTGAACACAGCAATATATGTTGACTAAGGCAGATCACCGTGAGGCTCAGCAGTTGTCAGTATTCTCATGTAGAGATCAACTCCTGCTCTACGCCTGTACGAACGGTTTTTGGTTGTGCTGTGGAGCCGACCAAGGAACTGATCCAGCACAAAAGGGGGAAAAAAGTGAATTTAATTTTGGATAAGCCCCCTGATTTGTTTCACTGCACAGCTGTATACCTGCTTGTGCCAGTACTTAGGGGACGGTATGAGGAAAAGGGAATGAGCAGCCTTATTTGAAGTGAGGGTAGGACTGCTTCTTTCAGAAGCCGTATTTGCTTTAAAATGTTACTCAAACTAATACATTACTTGAGGATCCTCTCCACAGTTATTAAGCATAGATCGGTGACATGGTCCTTGCTGCCCTCAGTTTGCAAATCTGGCTTGTTGCACTGATTTTCACAACAGGTGACTTTTAAAATTACTGGTGGAAAATCTCAGTTGTGTTTTAAGGCTGCCTCAATTCACTGATCGTTCTGCACGGTCCCTGAAATACTTCAGCTTTGGAGCGAACGTTTGGAGCAAAAAGTGAAACGGACCGGAAGGATTTTGGTGACAGTGAGAGCAAAAGTAAAAGCAAAGTAGGGTGGACTGCTGAAACCAACAAGGTTGGGGCCTCACGTGGCATGGACTGGTGTTTAGTGGGAAGTCTCTAGTTCACTGGACTGGAGAGCTGCAGAAGGCAGGTCACCCACTTGCGGTTTGAATAGCTGAGGCTAGGCTCTGGGAGAAGGGAGCAGCTTTCCTGCAAGCCCTCCCCCACAACTCCAAACAGGACAGTGTCCCTGCTTGCCTTCAGTGCACCTGTTCCCAGCATGGACGGTTGGTTCGATGTGCTCCTGACAGAACCCAAGGCACTGATTTATGCCCTCCTTTGCTTACTAGTCTCCAGGATTCATGCCAAGGAAGCGAGGCCCAGCCTGGGATCTATAGAAAGATATGACCAGGCAGGGAGAATAAATATAGTCCCTGATTTCATCTTCACCGCTTGCGAGCCAGCTCACGAACAGGACAAGCTGTGTGTGGAGCTGGCACTGCCCCCAAGGGACAGTTGTTTAGCTGTCCCGTGACCAACTTGCAGAGTTTGCTGAACCAAGGGGCGAGGTGTTAGAGAGAAATGTATATATGCCCCTTTCCCTTGACTGAAGTTGAAGCATTTCACTGTTCCCCAGCGGTGCCCTAGCTGCTTTCTTTTCTTTCATTGTGTTTTTCCCTTTTAGATGTATTCCATTACTGGAGACAGCATCCAGACTGAATAAGCTCATTACACAGTCCTGCTCTCACTCTCCTCTCCAGCAGTCTCTGCTTACCACCTACTTAAGGCATGAAAAGCTGTCTTGTTGGATATGGGATGCTATATTTTCTCCTAATCATTGTGCTGACATTAGAAGCAATGAGGCTGGTATCTCCTGGCATCTTCGCTGCTGGTCTAGAGAAAGAAGAGGGGAAGGGCTTAGTACCTTTGTATAATTTGCATGGAGATGGTAGATAGAGCAGGTCTCCCAACACTGCTGAGGACGGAGAACTAAAAAATAGTAACTAGCAAAGTGAATATTTACTTTGACAAAACACTGTTAGGGCCTCGGTTTACAACGGAGGAAGTAAGAGCTTGGAAGAAATGAGCTACTGCCTTAACTGTGCAGCGTTCCCTTTCACTGCACAAACATCTGACTTGGAGCACCTTTTCTCTAAGAGGAGCTAGAATGGGTGGCTGTGTGTTAGATTGCTGTTCTGTAGGAGGCAGTAGTTTAGCAACTATACAAATAGTTCCACCATTTCTGTGCTGCGCAGGGTGGGGCAGACAGCTGGGGGCAGTCATCTATCTCCCAGGCTGTACCATCTGTTGGTGAGTCAAAGCCCTGACACAGCTCATAGGAAATACTTCATGATATCCAAAGCTCTGAGGCTGAGTGGTAGAAGACGGATAGATAACCATGTTAAAACCTGGAGCCGTCAGTGAACTGCAGAGACTTGAGTTTGCAACATGAATTAAGCTGGCATAAAAGGTCAATCTGATGCTAAAACCTACCATGTCACAGGTAGTCCCTCCCACCCCTGTTGCGAAGTGACTAGGTAAATTTGCAGGATATTGAATGTTTTCTATGACCTCAAATAGTAACTAAAACTGGAAATCAATAAAATAAACCCGAGGAAGCACTGCCTGTCCCAGTTCATAAACACTTCTCCTTGAGAGGTGGGAGGAGCATGGCAACTATTACAAATATGAAAACCTTCAAGGTGTCAGTCTCCACATGCCTCATTGTAGATCTGCTTTAGCATCTCACCTGATGTTGTTTCAGTCAAAGCAACTGGAACATGCTGAGAATGTGCTCAGTTGACGTTGAACTTGCTGGCCCAGGTAATTGCAAAATTTGGATTTCAGCTGTGATATCCGTTAGATACTTCTGCAGTTCCTATGTTTTCCATTATTGTGACCTAATGAACCATAGAACAGCCCTTTTTTATCCTACAGTTTCGGTAACAAAATTGAACATCTCATTTGAAACACCAGGAGACAGATGAAACTTAGGTTCGTGGGCAGTTGGTCAGGATGCGGACTTCCCTTCTCTTTTCCTAGTGTTAGTTGTGATGTTGTTGGGCTTGCTCAATAACAAGGTTTTATTTCACTGAGTCAGTTTTTAACCTTGCTTTTGTGTGGTTCTAATCCTTCAGTGTGGTTCTGATCCTTTGGTGTTGACTAGATGAAGACTGATTTCTGGAGGCATTTGCAGCGGGTTAAACTTCTGCTGGAGTATGTAAAGCTTTCCTTCCCTTTCCTTTGTAAGCTGAGGTTAGGGTTCTTCAAGTTAAACTGTATGTTAGTTTAACTGGTGTTTTCTCCATGCAAACGTAAAAAGAAATATTCCATGAGTTCCAAGCAACTCCTGAATATTGAGGAATTTAGCACTTTTTGAAATGCCAACCAGCCAGGAAACTGCTTGCTGTTGCAGTTAACAGAATTAATTAGTGGTGGCTGTGGCATCTTCCCTTAACATGCTTAGTACTGGACAGAAGTATCTTTAGCAGTTTTATTGTGTATTACATGTTTTCAAAATTATTGTGACTGTTTTGGGGGGGCATTATTCTGTTCTTTCAACAAAGGGCACATACTTCTTTTTCTTGGCCCTTTTGATTTTTTTAGCAGCCTTGTAGTCCTGTTCTTAACTGTCAGGCTTAAACCCAAGTGTGTTGTGTAGGATTGTATTTTTCTCACTGTATATATCTGCAGCCACAGAGCTTTCATCACGTTCAAGTACCTTCCTTCATTAGCACTACGCTGCATTACTTTTTTGGCTCTTCCTCTAACTTTTTGATTTATAAATTTCAGACATTATCTCCAAGATAGACTTGCTGTGTAGTGGTATATTGGGTAACTTTGTACATTCCAGTGGTTTTCTGAACAGTTTAATAAAAAAGCCTTAGTGTTTGGGTGGTTTTTTTACATTTTTAAAACCACTGTGTTCTTTCACAATTGGATCCAAATATTTCTAGTTGCTAATCTGCTCTTAAATATAGAAATTGTTAATTTGTATTTAAAATTTCAGATCGAATTCAAAATCTGAGGACAAAATCAGTCATGGAAAATAAAAATGAACGATGTCCGCTGGCCTGGGTTTATTTTTTCTTTAAACCAAGTGCATGTAAAGCTCTCTTCTGGACAGGTTTTTGTGAACACATTACCAGAAAGATCTCAAAAACATAGAGTGAGTTCTGAGAAGAGCAGCAAGCATACCAGACTTAACATTGAGCTCTGGGAGTTGAAGGGACTGAT